CAATTTTTGTTGCATGGGGTTGAGTTAAATGCGAAATATGTCCGTTCTGGTGTAGCTGGTCACCGTGATCGTCACCGGCACACGTTTGTACACTGTCGCTGGACAAAATAGGTTACTAGTCACGTCACAACACTGTTTTATTTCATCGTCTGAGTAAAACTTTCAAAATTAAAATAAAAGAGAACATATTTTGACATTCTAAACATTAGACTATAGTGATCACTATAAAATAATTACAAAATGACAAATCACAGTTATTAAATAAATGACAGCCGCGTGGAAATAAATTGAAATTTTGTTGAAATAGGTGAACGCGTCGGGTCACGTCGAGGGCAAGTGCGTTAAAAGCGGCGTTTAATTGGATAACAAAAATAATCGAGATCGACACACATACAGATAAATTCAGAGTGGATTCGAGTTAGCGTGCTTCAAGGAGTGATTGTCATAATGAGCTATATCTGAAGTGTTTTATCCTAAATTTGTAGGAGGAGATATAATTATAACATCATAATATAACTTTATTTAGTGGAAACACATTGACCAAGCCCGGATTCTTATTTCATAAATTATTACGCAGATCAAGCTGCAAGCATGGAGGTAAAAAAAGAACAGAGGTGTGAATTCGACATTCAACACCAATCACCAAACAATTCAGAAACTTTTAGCCTTCGAAAATGAAAACAATTAGCAATGTGTAAGGGCTGTGTAATTTCCTGTTTGTCCGACGCTTCGTTTTCGTGTCACTGTCAAAATTATTGCTACTCTTTACTTAACAGGGACTAAATGGTCTTTATAAAACGATAATCAGGATCGCAAAAAAAGTCAACTCATTTGAAACACTTGCCATCTCTCTCTTCTGAAATCCGCCTCGGTGATCATGGTCCGGAATCTATTTCTTTCAAAAGTTGTTTTTTTCATGGACGAGGACAGTTTTTCAAAAAAAAAGAAGCTGACGTTAAGTGGCTTTCGTCCACTGATGTCGCACTTTCAGATCGATTAGAAACGTGTGAATACTTACACTATGACTATACGTTTCACTGCAACTACCTGTAACACAACATCTAAAAACTCTCTCTCTCAAAAAAAAAAAAATAGACAAAAAAAAAGGGAAAAAAACGGCGACCGAAAAATGTATATCGTTTAAAAGTATACTAAATGACCAGTGTTATTACGGCTCAGGGGTATGACTTCCTCTCACATTTTGGCATTTAATGGCGCACTTTCGGTGAGAGTCGGAAATCCGGAAACAGTCAACCGTTTCAGGATAGGTGGGCGTGGCTACAACACAAGAAATATTCCCAATTTACTTGGATACGAGTAATCATTTTCAGCAAAAAAATCAATAACTGCCCATTTCAGTGGGACACAGGTCTAAAATGGGAAACATGAGGGTGGGGATTGCACAGGCACTTTAAGTGTACATGTATTAATTACTTACATTAGTAGTCAAAAGTGTATCTAAATAACCCGTCAACCTGTGTAGACAGTTACATTTGAAATTCTGCAAAAAATACTAGGTGTGAATAAATTCTACTCGTGTAAAGCTGAACTTGGTGAATTTCCATTTTTACCAAATTTACCAGACAGTAATATTACAAAACAAGCATTTGAAGAACAAAAACAACAAAATTTACATTGGTTTACACCAGTAAAAAACATGGTCTCTGAAAATACCACAAATTTGTCCTTGTCTGTCATACCATACACTAAAATAAAAAACGTACGAAAAAACATCCGACAAAGGTATGTAGAGTTCTGGAAGTTGAGTGTAACAAATGATCATAGAAAACTGAGAATGTGTATAAAGACTCGTACACTTTTGAACCATAATTGCTCTTATGTAATCTGAAACATAAAATCCTAACGACTCGTTTCAGAATAAGCATTTCTTCATGAAATGTCTTGGGTACCAAACAGAAAGACAAAAGTTATTAATAATATCAATATAGAATAAAATTCAAATATTTTATCTGACACAAGTTTTCACTTCATACATTATATTCTTCAGTTTTCTGAAGCAATTCACACAATTTAAGCATGATGAACCAACCATGAAGGTAATGTCTCCATCAGTGTGACTTCTGAGCCATTTTGACTTGTCATTGATCCAAAGAGATTCCAAGTATAAACACACTCAGAAATAGTGATTTTTGATGGGTCATTGAGCAATGCAATCGAAAGAAATATGATTCATAAAAAAAATGTACCTTAAAAAAGGTTTGGTAACAACGTTTGGGAAAATAGTGAAAATAAGGCATTGGTTTACTGAATTAATTTTACATAAATTGCACCAGATGCCACCTTTCTTCTCTAAAAATCGCTAACTGATGAAAGTGAGAGTGGGGGCACCCAACTACGGAACTGTAAAACACTCCCCCCCCCATTCATGACAAATCAAATGAGATATTTCGGTAGGCAATGTGTAACACTACCGGTACTATTCATTGTTGAAGTCCGAATTGAATCACTCAAATTTGTATTTGTCCTTTTTGACTCACAAAAATCACAAACCTTCATAATGTTAGAAGGCACACTTGTCTCAACTCTTGTTAACAGAGCTTCACATGGTACATGTTCTATACTGATTGTGACAGGCATTTGATTTTTATTATCCAACCTGCTCAATGGGCATGCAACTTTTACTTTTTAATTAGAACCACAGTATATATGAATAATGCAAACCATATGACTTATAGTTTCCTGAACCTTGCATCCAGATATCGTTGACAAGACTGCCAGTTTTGTTGCTAGAAATGGTAAGTTTTGCTTTATTTTGTTTCAGTTAAAACTATTATATTTTGATCAGAGTGACTTTGAGGCTGTGGATCTGATGAATTACAAGGGTTTAAACAAGGGATCACAGTAATTTTGAGACTGGATCTGATGCATCACAGGGGGTAAACTGGGGATCACAGTGACTTTCTTTCGTACAAACATCCTCAAATTTTCTAATTGTGTGAACATTTATAACATTGAAAATCAAATGCTTGTTTTATCTTTTGTTGTTACGTTACTACCTTCTCGTGTATCGTGTATGCATTGTATCAAATAGAGAATGTACATTGATTTATTTAATCTACCGATATTTAAGTTCTACATCAATCAGTTTCATTCAGTTCTGTATGATTCACTTTTCACAGGGCCGGAGTTTGAGACACGTATTCGCCAGAATGAAATAAACAATTCCAAGTTCAATTTTCTGAATCCCAATGATCCATACCATGCATATTACCGACATAAAGTAAAAGAGTTCCAAGATGGTACAGCCACTGAGCCCACTGCTTCCACACTACCCAAGGTAAGTCTGTATACCATGAATATTCTTATTTAGACGTCAGGCAAGAGTGAAAGCCTCAATTTGCTTCCTAATAATGTGGTATTTTCTCATAGTTAAAAAGAAATGTAATATGCATTTGTTTTGATTTCTTTGAAAACATAAAGTAAAGTATACAAGCACATTGCGTAGTAGTAAATGATCACAGAAGTATAATCTGGTCATGCTGTTTTTCTGATGAATAACTTGTTTTTGAGGTGTTACAAATGTTGATTATTGCACAGTCATGATTACATGTATTGGCGATCCGCTATGCTAGGATTGCCCTTATAATCACTTTTGTCGTTTTGTGTGTATGTGTATGGGTGGGTGTGTTTCTGTGTGTGTGTATCTGTGTGTGTGATTTCCAGTGTTTTCACGTATGATTTCTTCTGTTATTTTTTTTGGCTTGGCCGATTTCTTTCAAACTTGGCAGGTAGGTCACACCTTCACCCTAGTTATTAGGAAAAATCTGAAAAACTGTTTTGACCCACCTTTGTCATAGCTTCGCGCCAAATATATCTCCTCCTACAAATTTAGGATAAAACACTTCAGATATAGCTCATTCTACTCAGCTTGAGTGTAGGCACAAAGTTACTACATGTATTTGAATTTTTGATATCTTTTTTCAATACCAAGAAATTTGACCCCAAAATTGGGGTAACTTTTCACCAGCAACGGCTTTTAACTCCTCTGTGATTTTTACAAGTAGGTCGTACTGTCACTAATTGGAAAAAAATCCTGGCCCACCACTGCCATTGCAACATCCAAAAACTGATTTTTGAATACTTTCGCCCCAAATGTATTACCTCCTAACAGTTTTGTAATAGCAGTGTTCAAATGACCGTGCTGTCTATTTTGGCTACGTTGCGCACTGGTAGGAGATCACCGGTGCCGACAATGTATCAACGTAATTCCAATGCAACTTTGAACTTTGAATGAACTGTAAATGCTGCCTTTATTCTAGAAAATACTATCGCAAAACGGTTGGAAATAATAAATGTAACAGCAGAATACATCATAGTAATAAACTAAGTGACTTCTAAAAACTTAATGGTGTTTGCGAACTTCGTATAGGGCCCATTTAGTTATAATCCGACGTTAGCTACATGTTTATGTCACACCATGGAAACAGCCAAAAACATATTGCTTGTTTTTGAGCGGAGCGGATCGCCAACCAGCCTACCGGCTTGTAATCATGTTTGTTGACATACATGAGTTGACCTAAAACTGTGTTCTTAAAACTGACAGGTCAAGTTGGTTATCAACCAATCAGAATGTTGGTTCGTGTCCACCAACCATGATATCTCATTTAAATATGATAATGAGGGTTCAGAGACCTCACTGAGTGGCAGACACAAGTTGGAAGATGCATGATGTTCCCGTACAATATATTGATTTTTATAGACATGAAGTCAGATATGAAATCAATATTTTAGTCTAGATATTTTAGTAATCAGAAATGTTTGGAAGATAAACTGAGCATTGAAGTATTTAACTCTTTTCATGGTAATAACAGCTCATTAGCGAAATAGTCTAGTCATAATAAACATTTTATTTATAAATAGTCATCACTGAAAAACATAAATTTGACTGAAATCTAGGTGCCAGGGAAGATTGAAAACTGATGCCTAAACTAGCTTTAGAATGTTTATGGTACATTTTTGCTGTCACCCATGATAGTTATTTCACATCTTATATTTCCTCTAAAATGTCATTACTATGCACATTTTTAATATTTTTCTATTATTTCTTAAAGTCAAACTTTGTTCTTTTTATGCCATCCTAGTTGATGCAGTTGACTGCTAAGCTGCCAAGTCAGGTTCAAGTGGAGCCTGCTGTACCTAAAGAACCACCCCCAGAGTACGAGTTTGTGGCGGATCCACCATCCATTTCTGCTTATGACCTGTAAGTCCGCTCTGTGATTCCATTTTTATATGTGGCAATATTTCAGCCCTGTCCTCACTAGACAAAAATAAGTAGTTTCTATCTGAATCAAATACAAATCAAAGTCAGTTCTGTTCCCACTTGAGACAATCGTGTTCAAAACCATGTTAAGGTAATTTTGGAACAAGTTTCAAACGGAACTAATCCAGATTAACTAAATGTGGTTTATTGATCCAGTGTTGAAAGCAAACAACTTTTCACCTTGACTTCTAGGATGGAGTGTGCACTCGCATGCTATGTGTAATTGTGTGTTAATTTTACTCAACATAAGGTGTGAAAATTGAATGTCAATGACAGGCAAATGACACTAGTAGGCAACATACAAATGTTTGCTTTGATCCTGTCCCAGAGGTTTGACATGGTTTCTGGAAAAGAACACATTTTTATTTGAGTCCTCGTCAGATTAAAGTGTGCAGATTGAACCTGAAATGACAAAGCAAAACTGCCTAATTATACACTAAGATTGTCACATTACTGCATTAGTGAGAATCCAGATTCAAAACATGAATTTGCCAACAACCCCGGGCCACAATCATCCCAACTATTTTCTCTGGACACATCAAAAATAGACTATGAGTTCAATGTGTCAAGTTTAATAGCATGTGAGGACAGATAACTTGTTCAATTGCTTGATAATTGCAGTGCTGACAGAAAGTACCGGTAGTTCAAATTAACTGAACTGAATAAGTGAGGACTATAATAAAACAAGGAGCACTCAAAGATGAGAATGCTAGAATCTATATTTAGTGGAGTGACATTATCAGAGATTTTTTTAACCATATTAATATAATTACAATTGTAGAGATGTGGTAAAGCTCACTGCTCAGTTTGTGGCTCGTAATGGACGCCAGTTCTTGACGAATCTGATGAACAGGGAACAGCGAAATTTCCAGTTTGACTTCTTACGACCACAACACAGTCTGTTTCACTATTTCACCAAATTAGTTGAACAGTATACCAAGGTAATTGTATTTCATGATTATTTATTTGTTAAAATTTATCTTAAAGGAAAAGAAATGTGAAAAAATTATAGGATATTTGATGTCAAAATCATTACTAACAAGACACAAACAAAACTATGTAAATGCACGACATTGTGGTAAGAAACTTCTGGGCTGTTTAACTTGCCACACCATGGCAGTTCATACAGAGGTTTAGCTAACATCATTTATCAAAGATGTTCCATAAAATATAAAATGAGAGAATTCTTTACATTATTACATGTGATGTTTTTTTCCATGGTCCGCAGGTCTTAATACCGCCAAAAGATTTGATGAACAAACTGAAATGTGACTCTGAGAACCCTAAACACATCTTAGATCAAGGCAAGCACCGTGTGGAGTGGACCAAATATGAAGAGAGACAAAGAAAGAAACAAGAAGAACAGAAGGAGCGAGAACGAGGTGAGATTTAAAAAAACAAAGTTGTAGATTATCCCCAAATCGTAATTGCACGTATTTTACTTTGAATAGTCAAACTTGTCATGGAACAGAAGTGTGTTCATTGTTATATGATTCTGTCTTCTGCAGTTGCTTACTCTCAGATAGAGTGGCATGATTTTGTTGTCGTGGAGACTGTTGACTTTCAACCCAATGAGCCTGGTAACTTTCCACCACCAACCACACCACAGCAAGTTGGTGCCAGATTGCTTGCCGAAGAGCGTTTTGAAATTTATGGGGTAAGTAATTTGAGGTATTCTTCTGTGACATTAGCTGTTTTTATTACATGCATGTACTTGACATTGCTCAAGGGTGGTTGACCACACTAAATTATATGCAAATAGAAATTGAGGTCTTTCAATTTGATCATGTTTCCTTGGAAGCCAGATGGAAAAAGGCTAAATGGTCATCTACTTTTAGTGGTCTTCATGGGTGCTTTGATGGCATTCATTTAGTGGTTTGCATGGAAGTTTTGATGGCATTCATTTAGTGCATTCATGCACACTGTATGTTCATCTAATCATTAATTTCTTGTTTAGTGGTTGGAACTAATAAAGCATTCATCTTCATTCATTAGATATAGTTGAAAGTAAAGTTAATCAATGTTTTGTCGTTTCTCACAAAAGCAAGATGATCAACCAGAGATGGTTGAAATGGAAGTTGAGTCTGATGATGATGATAGCGACGAAGAAGAAAAGGCAGACAAGAGTAAAGCAGTTCAACCTCCGCCTCCTCCTCCACCTCCCCCTCTAACTGATGAAGATACTGAATTGCAGGATATGGATGAGGTGAGTACACTGTTACTATCAGTTACTTTATTACCTCTGATTATAACAAATAGACATTTACCACACCATGACATACAGCTACATTGATATCCTTCACAGATATTGTTCTTTTCACTCTCAACCAGGATTGTAGCTAAAAAATGGAAAGTGTCTGTCTAAAATCTCTATTGAAATACAAGACAGTCACTGCTGGTGTATTGTGACAGATTTGTAGTCTTGTTGTTGTTGATAATCAAAAGTTTATGGATTCATGGAAATTTAGCTTTTGTGTCAGGTGACTCACTAAAAGCCTGTCTCAACCTTTGTTTTATCTTCATCAGGGATCCTCTGATGAGGATGAGAAAGGACCATCAATGGCTCCACCACCAGCTCCACCTGCTAGTGATAGACCACACCAACCACCATTACCACCCATGCCCAATGATAGCAGTGTGGAAATCAGAAGAGATTACGACCCCAAAGGTAAGATTACCCACAATTTATGATAGATAAAGTGGCTCAATAAACATTTCCAAAAAAGTTGTGCCCACCAGCCACAAAGTTGAAGGAAGGCGTTCATCTGTTGTTCCTGTAATGGTCTTTCAATAACAAATTCAATGATTTGCTATGTTGTATTTGGCTTATCAGTAGTGGATGCACGTAATGCATTTGACAAATATGTTTGTAGTCAAAGTCAATAATATTGAAGGATTCATTATCCCATGATTCAATTGTTCATATGCATGCACTTCTATTGAAACAAATACGATAATTCTAAATGACAAACATGAACACATACAAAGTATTTTATTACTGTAAATAACATAACTTTTACCATCTATACATTTCGACATTACCATATGTGTGAATTCTACTTATAACAATAAAAGTAAATGCACACTTCCATCTATTGACGCGTCTAGGCATTTTGCACAGAAACCGTATTCTATGTTTGGGTCGATGGTAGGTCTGTGTAACAATCTTGTTATCATAAAATTGACTCATTATTTTCCTAAATACAGTGTATGTATGGTACAATTACTTGCCTACTTTTTTGATTGAGTAGATCATTTATTTTGCTAATTTCAGCCCCCAAGGCACCTCAGATGTCGGATGACAAGTACCTGATATCTCCTATCACGGGTGAGAAGATCCCAACTGATAAAATGCAAGAACATATGAGAATTGGTAAGTTTGTATCACCTGAAATGAATACAGAAAACAACTGTTTTGGTGTTAATTTCTCCAATGGAGGAATGGCAGTTCATAGAGGAAGTGATAGTTAGTGATAACTGATGAGACTTTTGTTTTCTTTTAGGAAAATAAATATATTTTCAAAAGTATTTTGATCAAGTCCTGTAGTTAACAGAAATATGGCCTTTTTATCCCAAATTACCAAATAATAGAATAACACAAAAAAGTAACGTATAAATTTGCAAAATGTTACTCCAAAAAACTATAATTTAATATCATGATACTATGATCGAAAGAAATTCACACAACTGTGCATTTTGCTTGCTAGGATTACTTGATCCAAGATGGCTGGAACAACGAGATAGAATGATGCACGAGAAAGCCTCACAGGAGGAGGTATTTGCAGCTGGTTCTGCCATTGATAGTAGTTTGAAACAGTTAGCTGAAAGACGTACTGACATCTTTGGTGAAGGAGATGTGGAAACTGCCATTGGTAAAAAGGTAAGGGTCACAAAAGTTAGACAAGAATAAATGTTATTTTTTATATTTTATTACAACACAAGATGAAATTGCTTCTTTGTGTTCCAATTAATTAAATCACATCAAATACTACTACTGTTTCAATACCATATTAAGATCTGCAGCATTGTAATTACAATATGACTGTAGATGACTCGCATTCATGATTTTATTTTATACAATAATGATCTTTATATTTAGATTGGTGAAGAAGATATAAAACCGAAAGAAAAAGTGGCCTGGGATGGACACACTGCCAGGTTAGTGGTATTGCTAAGTAACCATGGTTACAAGTCACACAACCTATGCATTGGCTTGCTAATTGATACCTCTGGAGTGAATTGTAAACCTTAACACAGTGGTTTCATAGTAACCAAAAAAGTAGTGACACCCATTCACATTTTAGTTCTTTCAGTTGTATACAAATATTGATCCCAGCCAAGGTCAATATGCAGATTTGTTGACCGCAAGAGGCCTTTGGCTTCAGCTCTGTCAACAATGCTTTCTATTGGTCAAAAAGGGTGTCATTATACCAATGTTTATTTTTGATGTACATACACAAACCAAAACAGCACACTGGGACCACTCAGCTCAAAATAAAAAAATTAACCCACATAAATGTATGACATGCAAGGAGTCATAAAATTATCTTGATAAAGTACATTGAACTAAACAAATTCTGAAATGCTAGCCATGTTAAAACTGACATTCCCACCTTTGGATGGCATAACAAATCATTGCATGATCTTCCACGCCTGTAGAGACATATGTGATGACTACAAACAGTGATGCAATTATAGCAGCAACACCTTATACTATCTCTTCACATTAATCAATTTATTTTCATATTAGTAAAATAAAATTATTGCTGTAACATTAATGGTCATATACCGTACTTATCCAAGTGAGAGCCCATGCCTGGGCAAACGCCCACCCCCCACTTTTGACACAATAAAGAAGTTGAGGTCATATCCGGGCACACGCCTAGGGGGTCTTTTTCTACACAAAAAATATTTAAAAAAACTATGTCCTATTCGTTGACTCTGGTTGTATTAACAGTTGACTGTCTGTCTGTCATGATACTTATAAAAATTGTTAATTGCGTAAAAACAGGGGGTGAATGCAAAATAGCTGTGACAGCGCTCTGCCTTCAAGCAAATCGTATAAGGAGCCTGAGAGCCGCTAAGCAAGTGTCGCACTCGTTCGGCTTTAGCTCGTCGACAATGAAACCAATGTTGCAATATTGATTCGTAATTTGTCGAGACCGGAAATCATTTTACGCAGTTTAGCCCCTGACATTTTAATTTAGTTCACGCTTATTGGCATTTGTTGGGGAAAATCCTAATTCAAATGATTCCTACCTGTCGATTTTTATTATTTCTGGTTTATTTGTCACATTATAAGCAATACATTATTTTTGTTTTAGTTCAAGTGTTGCATATTGTTCATTTATTTGCCGTTCTATTTCCTGCCGCAGTTCGATCTGCGTGTTGTCAATTTTCCTGAATTTTTGTTTTTTTGCCGGGGATCTCCTGGCAAACGCCCACCCCTTCTTTTTGGCAATTTTCCATGTTCAGGACCCTGGGCTTATACCCGGATAAATACGGTATATCCAATTTGGGATGCCTTAATAGAATCTGATGTCTATTGCATAGGGTCCATTACAAACCATAATTTAAGATGTTATTGACATATGCAATTCATATAGAGAAAATGTAATTATCCGTGTAGCTCTGTTTTTCTTATATCTGTATAGAAATCAGTGAGTTAAATTAATTGTATCTTTCTTTACAGTATGGAGGCAACAATAAATAAAGCTAAAGCCAATATCTCAATCAAGGAACAAATTGAAGCAATCCACAAAGCTAAGGGTCTAACGTAAGTCATTTACATGCACTATTTGTAATGAATCTACAAAATGATAACTAACACTCAGCTAGATTTTGATTGCAGTCTCTGCTAGACTTTGGAAAGTTAGAAGGTGTAGCTAAAATGACCTGTTAAAAAGGCAGCAGTCAGTAAATATTTGTTTCATTTTCTCACCTATAGACCTGATGAAGCAAAAGAAAAGATTGGTCCTGCAAAGCCAGCGCCAATGTTACCATCCATGTTAGGTGGGCATTTGAGACCCCCTAAGCCGTCAATGCAACACAAGCCACCAACCACACACCACCATCCACCTCCTGCACCACCGCCTCTCCCTCCACCAAGACTACCATCGTTAATCAGCGCACCAGGTGTTCCACCACCATTAGGCCTGCCACCTCGTCAAAATATGCAGCCAATGCCGCCAATGCGACCACCTCAGTTCTTTCCACCAGGTAGGAGTTTTAAACTTTAGACTCTTTAGCTGACACCTCATTCAAGTTTTGTTCCTATTTTGTTAATCAAAGGGTGTCATCTTTGTCATATTCACAGTCCGGTCAAAAATTAAGTCTGGAATTCAAGAAAATTCAAGCGTTTCAGACTTACCTGGTTCTTGATATTTTGTTGGTCGTAACTCACTTTGTACAGACCATTTTCCGGAACATCACTTTATTTTTTATTAAGCTCAGAAAGTATGTGGAGTGGTAGATAGATAAATTGAATGACTATTCCAATGATATTTTATGATGCAAAAATATGGCAAAAATCACTGAAATCCACACAATAATGTTACATAGACAGTTGAGAGGGGAATGAATCTGGCAATAAATATGTTTAGAAATCAATATCAGCTTTTATACAATCTTCAAATGTTATTCATTTTTACCTTGCCCGTACCATCAAATATGGAAGGGAAAGGTATATTAAGGGAAAGATTTTGTCCGGCGTTGTTGTCGTCGTTGTTGTTGTCGTTGTCGTCATCATTGTCGTTGTCGTTGTTAATAATTGTTATTGTGTGCATAATAACTTTACTAATTCTATTCCAAACTTCATCAAACTTGGTCACCTTATTAGTCCCCGTTCGGACGCAGTCCGAAAACGGGGACTTATGTTTTGCCCTGTGTGCGTCCGTGCGTCCGTGATCACCTGTATCTCGAACATGCATGGACCGATTGAGTTCAAACTTCACTCATACATCACACATTATATGGGACATATGCACATGCATTTTTTTCATGATCCGATTAACGATAGCCGAATAGC